GCGTGTGTTGCGAATTAAACGAAACTAACTTGAAATTTAGCAGCGCAACAAGCACAAAAATATATAAAAATAAAACTAAAAATTAAAAGCTCAAATTATTTGAGATTTTTTATAAAATCTGCAATTAACATCATTACATATTATTTTTAACTTTTTAATATTTTTAATATCAAAAATTAAAAAATTATATTAAAACACGATTCGTTGCAGTTTACGCTGACACTTTCTCCCTTTAGCAAAACGACAATTTGCAATTAGGAAGACCTAATAAAATTATTAAAAAATTTAGCTGAAATTTATTTCAACTTTAAAAAAAGTCAGAAAAAAAACAAATATTCGATTATATAGTGCCAAGCTTCTGTACATTTGATTTTGCTTCCAAAGATTTTTCCAAAGTCGGCCCAAACTATAGGATTATTAATTTTGTGATCCTCAAAGTATATGTAAAGAAACTCAATTTATAATTAGGATTAATAAGATTTTGATTAAAATTTTATTTAAATATATTAACTGGATGCTATCATAAGGTGTGAAATACATCACAATTTAATTGTTCTCTATGGATCACCTTACACTACTGGGTCCCTTTTATAGTCCTAATTATCGATTATTTGTTGACATATAGCTGACAATAGCTTGACTATAATTTAATACATGTTTATTTTCAAAATTCTCAGAATATTTGATACATATTGTGGAACGTTGGGAGAGCGCACCATCCAGCAAGTGGCCCCACTGAAGTGAAGAATTAGCCGAAGTAGACCACGAAACGACTTGGGTTCTTTTTCATCCTTCGATTCTCGGATGTTGTTTTTAAATCAAAGCTAGTTAGGCTTCCATTCGCATAAATACATCTCTTGTTATTGTAAGCAGTTCATTTGGCTTGAGGTTGCGTGTCAAGTCATCATTAACCCAATGGTGATTCAAGACAGTTATCCCCCCTGCACCGCTGTCTCCCTTTCTAGTGTCTTTCTTAACAAGAGTTATCTTTTTAATGTGATACTTGCAATTTGCATGTCCAGTAATCAAGGACAGAATATTTTATTATCTATACAAACAAGAAATAAAAAATGACCACTGGTGACAAATCACATTACTAAGACATGAAATTACTCGTCTGAGAAATTTAAGTGGAAAGTGTAAAAGTAAGTTCACAAAACGAATCCAAAACAGCATATGTTATATGGTTTGTGACACCGTCCAGTTAAGTCTTTTAATATTCCATATCTATATCCGTATTCCATACTTATATATAAGTTGTCAAGCTTTGTGTTGAAACAACATATTTTCTGTATTCATATTCCATACAACATTTCCATATTCAAAACGTATTGTATAGATTGTGGCACTCTTTTGTTTAAACCACATATCATCTATATCTTTGATTTTAATTTCACTAAAAAAAGATGGTAATCATGTGGCTATAGTGATTGTAGATCAGAATTGGTGATTTGTGTCTTATCTTCGGCATTTTTAAAAAGTACAAGTCTATAAGAACTTCAGAATAAATGTTACACCATATAAAACCTTTCTGTAGATAAAAGGATATTACGATAGGTACTTGTGGATTGTCACTGCTCTAGGTGTGACAGTTTTGTATATATCTATATGTATATGTTATATCCACCAAGCGAGAAATATACTTCATCATAAAAAAAAAAATCACTGAGAAAAAATTTTATCGAACTCTTGTCGTACGACTGCTTAATCAGCTTATATACTATGTACTCCATGATCCATATTGTAAAATGGCGTACCTTAAACCAAAATCAAGTGTACTGATCTCTTTTTCTGTATTTTTAGAGTCTGTAATTGTCACATTGGCTGTTGTTTATTTCAACATGCACACTTGAGTTAATTTGCGCACAGATTTCTTTTTAATAAAATAGAAAATAAACGGGATTATTTATTGGATAAATAATCATAAATATATAAAAACAAGTAAGCCCGCTGTATAAAAAGAAGATTTTTAAAGTCTAACTTAATTACTTTAGTCAATGATTCGACGTTCTTTAATTGCAGTGCAAAAAAAAAGCATTGAAATCTTTAGAGAGTGCCCGGCACTGATACACAAGCGGAAGAAACACCTAGGAGGGTGTTTCATGGATCATAAGGATTCAAGACTAGGAACGATGGACTTTATACTGTATTTCATCGAAGAAATCGGAGTTGGAGAAACAATCTAATCCGACTAAGGGGCACAATAGGTCAATAGGTCATTACCTTTGTTCAAATAATAATAATATCTTAATGTTTGTCAAAATTTTATCAAATATCCTACCCTGTTATAAAAAAAGAACTGTAGATAAGAGAAAATAAATGTATAGATTTGATAATAAATAAGTCCTTCAGAAATTGTATGCAGAATGGAAAACTAGTTCTATAAATAGTAATTATTAAATATTAAATACAAAAAGAGTAATTAATGGTAAAACTATAGAAGTCAGATAAGAAACAGAAAATAAAAGAGAAGAATAAATTCAAAAAAAAAAAAAAAATAACTGTAGAAATCAAATCATAGCCGATCGCTAAACAGTGTTTTTGTAGGGGACCAGTTCAATGAGTTCATGAATTAAACGCCCAAAGGATGAAAACGTGCTCAACCGCAGACAAAATAAAGTCCACATATAGGCAAGTCAATTTATATAGAAGATAAACTCGTATGAGTATATGCAAACACAAAAATATCTGAAATTTTTTATTGTCTCATATATACAGATATACATATATATAAATATTTCAGAAATACAAAAAAAAAAACAAAAAAAATAAGTAGACAAAGTAGAAAAAATGAAAAACTGAAAAAACCGACCAAGGAATTGCAAAAGATTTTGCGCGCGGACGCTTAAGCTGACGAAGTCGAAATCAAAGGCTTTGACAATGAAGACGAAAAGCAGAAAGATTTTATTGCCTCAAAGGCAAAACTGAAGATAAAAACAGAAAGAAAAATAATAAAATAAAAAAAAAATTGAAAAAAAAATAAATACAAAGACAAAGACAAAAAAAGATGCATGAACGTGCAACATTTCTGTGCCAGCAAAGTCGTTTAGCCAAGAAGCCGACGAACTGGACGGACTCTCGGCTGCAGTGATGCGAGTGTTCAAAGCTCGTTGGTGCGCATGAAGGGAACGGCAAGTTTTTGCAGCTTAGCGAATTTCCAGTTTCACTCATTTTACACTTATTAAAGCAGCAGAACCGAAAGCCAAGAACTAAAATAGCCAGGCATCGGCGGTGCAGCACCACTTGTAGCCAACCGGGAGCTTCCCGAACTGGTTGCGCATGCACATGTGTAGAATTTGTTTACAATTTTTTCAATTTACAGATTTTTTTTATTGGTTTGGTAATTCTTTACTGCTACATACTCTGTTGAAAGTGCATTTCCATTTCTGACTATACTTGAGACGTAGAGATGTGAAGAGTTCGGATAGCTCTTTCAGTGAAAAATCTTTAGAATCCGTAATCTACAAATATCTTTGCTAACTTTTGGCAAAGATCCTGATTTGAACTTTAAGTGCTTCCGTTGTCTATGGTTTGTATCTCTTTCTTACGTAAAAGAAAGAAAAGACACTTTTGTAAAATACTGTATGAGTACAGAACAAATAGGCTACTCGGGTTATTCTTTCCAACATTACATTGAAGAAAACACACGACGAAGAGTCACTCTGTTTCATTTTAGAGTTAGAATTAAGTTAGAATTAATGGTCCTTCCTAATTCTAACGGAGCTCGACCCCTACGCGTTGGTGCCGAATATTGAATAAGATGGGACAATACCCTGTATGAGCTATACCGCGACATTGCTATTGTTAAGCGGCTTCACTTGTTTTGTTATGTCATATAAATGGAACAAAATGCTCCGACGAGAAGGTTGTTTGATTTGGTACCCGCTGGTAAATAAAACGTAGAGTACGCTCGCATTATCGGTAGAAAACCCATGTGATCAACGATATAAAGACACTTTGTACTATCAACTGGCGGCAGCAACCTACTCGTCGAGCTACCTGTAGGAGGCTACAGGGTGTGGACAAGTACGACTAACGTCAGTAGTGATAAGTAGTAGGTTCAACGTTATCCATTGAGTTTAAAAGGTATTATCATTAATAGGTGAAAAAATAATTTTGGGATCCTATTAACCTGAAATGTATTCCTGGAACTATTCTAACAAAACAATGAAACCAGAGAGCTAACTCGAATCTCATTTAGTATTCACATATTGATTAAGGATATAAGTTTTTAGTAAAAAATAATCCTGGAACTTCAGAGTCTAACGGATATATCTATATAATATAATATATCTATGTTCGGTTTTATCGTCCAATACTCTGAATATATAAGCGTCATTAAACTCTGTTAACACCTTTAGTTACTTTTGACTAACTCGTAGAGGTTTTTTATTTTTTCAATTGTTCTTGATATACTTTTATAATATATAATATAAAACAAAAATTTCTATGCTTCAATCTTATATGTATAGGAACCAATGCCATCCGGAAATGGTTCAGGTATTGCTGAACTGTTAAGTGTACACAAGTCTGTGCTGATCAGTCATATTCCTAATATAAACCTTTTTTGTGCTTCTTTTAAGTATTTTGTTTCTTAATTTATCTCTTCTTGTGTTTTCTTTAATGGACATTTCTCACAATATGTAGTTTGGGAATTAATGTAACCACTTTGGATAAGTTATGCACTGTGCAGAGCTTTACGAGCGGCTAAATGAAAGCAGGAGCAAGAACTTTAAATGGCACTTAGCAGCAGCAGAGTTAGCGGTAAAGGCAGAAGGTGCTGCATACAAGCACTACAGCTCAAAACGGAGTTGACAAGACAGCAACGAAGCAGGCAAATTGCTTCAGACATACTTTACACTGGGTAGTGTATTTATTATAATTTTTTTTAATACCAAATATATATAATAAAAATCATAGCAGGCAAAGCAAGTGTCAAATTTCAAAAAAAATTTTTTTTTTAACTTTTTAAATTGATTTCATATTCAATTAAACATATATTTTTTTCCGTACTATACGTTACTGGTTTGACATCTTTAGGGGATCAAAAATGTCTTTTTAGATCTCTTCTATAAATTAAATGTGAGGTTCAAAATTTCTAAAAACACTATAATGTATAGGAAACTCGTCAACATAGCCGGATATAACTCACTAAATTCTCTAAATTCACTTTGCAAAATTCAAAATCATCACAATGCTTTCGTTTTTCGGCATTTTTCGGAACAGAATTTCAATTTGTTACAGGGTCCTTCATTACAGTTCAACTTCGTACGTCCGATGCATAATTGGAAGAGTCAAATGGACCTCAACGATCAAAGAAGAAAAGTTATACCGAAATTAGTTTATCTTCACAATCCGTGGAAGTACTTGCTAACGAAGTTCAACTTGTGGAAGTTACGCTTGTTCTGGGATCGTGATTTTGTGGAGCAAGAATTTATTGAGGGTTCCAAACAGGTACTTGAAAATTTGCTTTATTGTTATTGTATTGATTGGCATTTTATTAATGTTTTATGTTTGTTCAAGTATTAAATAGTCACGGTTCCCAAGAGATTCCCAAGAGAACTGACTTCATAATTCTATAGTATTAAGACAAAATAATTACCTTAAGAGGTATTATTTTGGATTGGGAAGCCATTGATTCTTTTCAACAAAACGTGCAGTGTCTTTTATGCATGTACAGGTGATTTGGTGAATATACGCCTCCCAGTATGCACCAGACAATGACAAAATGAATGACTGATATTTTTCCTTTGAAAAAGCATCCCCTTTAGTAAAGTTCGCATAGAGTATTGTTAGATACTGTAAGTATCTTGTAAAGTGAGTGGTGAACAGAATTAATCAATTGTTTTGGTCCAGCTGATAGGTTTGTAATAGGAATAGACATAAACTATGCATAGAAGTCTGGTTTTTGTAATATATATTCTTTATATCCCGTTGGTATAAGTACTGATTAAAATATTTGAAAAGCTATTGGCTGATGTTAGAGAATAAAAGCATTTCAAATAGTATAATCTTGCCAACAACATCAACAATAAGTTTTTTAGTCTAATTCGATCAGAACTCAGACTAATCAGTAGTTTTATAGAAGACTTCTATAGAAGTTGTCTACCTTCTTCTAGAGATTAAAAGATCTCATGAGATTAATAGATGTTAACATCTGCAGGTTGCATGAATTGATGATAAAAAGAACATAACTGGTTTTATACTATAACTCTGGTCGTCATTAATTCGAAACTTGTCTGGAAACCTTAAGCAATTAAAGATTTAAATACACTCCGTTTAACTACTCTTAAAATAACAGAATTTCTCTAAGGACTTTACAATATCAATTGTAGACTAAAGTGCTCCATTGTCATTTTTCCAAACTAATGAGATAATTAAGATAAGCTTAATTGATTACGGGTCGCATATTTTTCAAGAAGTAACAAAAATAGCAAAATTGCTTAGCTTCATGAATAACCTTTGACAGTAACATTACGGTCTTTGTCTATGCTTTTAGGAAATTATGCGATGTCCAAGACCGTAATATTCCGTGACAAAGGTCATAGTACGATATATATATTTTTAAAACAAAGTCTTGCAAAGATCGTAACACAAGCAAAGAACGTAATAATACGTTCTTCTTTGTAAGTAATGCAAAAGTTTTGTTGTGATTATTGTTGAATGCAAATCTTTTTGGTTAGAGCAGCAACTTTTTTTAAGAGAATATTGTTGTTCAAATACAAAATTAAAGAAGTTATTATATTGCATATGAAATCCTTGTTAATTATTTCACGATTTACGATATTTAGTCAATATAATAACGCTCTTTTAAAAAGTAATTATCTTATACATGAACCAACTTAAAATGTTCAATATACTGTATCTGGTCGCTGTACAGCATAGAGGTAATAATACGATATTGGCAAATGCAAAATGTTAAGTCACATACGATATAAAATCATTTAAATGCCCATTAGAAAATTTTTTGGATATCACTCAACTTTGACTATATTCCTATATAAAAAAATAGATTTAAACATCTCGGTTTTAATAACTACTGTATTTTATTTTTAGGCAGCGATTGTCATTACAGACATTATAAGAGACCAGCAGACGAGCAGAATAGGTCAGTTTACCACACCAATTGGGTTTCAACAAATAACACGTGACATGTTGCTCTCCCGTAATGACACTCGACTGAAATTGATTAAATTCAGTCCGGAGCACCTACGCAAAGCGATACCTATGAAAGTCTCAACGCGTAAAAATTTTGGTGAGTTCTTAAAAATAAATAAGATGTGTATATTATGTATGTAATAATACGGGGAAATTTGCAATGGAACCTGATTATCTATGTATATGCTTTGAATTATTATATATATAATGTTATATGTGTGGAATGATAATTAACTGCTAGCAATCCTTAATTTAAAATTTACCTTTTGCTCTTTTTAACTATGGATTAAATTTTGGTACAAATTTTAATTTTAGGTCATAAGTTCTGTTTCATTGACATGTTGTTTGTGGGTCTTCGCAATACGAAGGATTTTGGCTCTGCTGAAGAAGTGGTTGAGGTTAAGGAAGTGTTGCGCAAATTGGATGCTGACATGCACACTCCACAAGACATACAAAGCGTACCCCATCGCATCGTTTTCGCTGAAATATTTATGCGATTTCGTAGAGACTACACTGAAACGGCACTAACACAACATGAAACGAGAAAAGATGACTGGTCTGTTTCATTTTACAAAATACTATCGTTCGATATCCTCAATTATGATCCGAAGGCATAGAATCAAGAAAAATGTATCCAGCTTGTTCAGTCACATTAGAAATTTTAATTTATTACAAACAAAATAAACAACATTTACAATAAACAATAATTTATTTCTTTCTTCTTCCTCTCCAAAAAAAATTACGACAAGGCAGTCCTGGTGCTGGAAGTACATTTGTTACTGTAAGTGCTTTCAGGAGCTCATTTTCATCTTCTGTCTTATTCATTGCTTTTATAAAATCACAGTATTTTTTGTTCTCTTCCAGTAATCGATTCTTTTCATCGGTTAACAATAAGTTCTGCAATTCCACCAGTGACTGACGACGCCAGAAATTTTTCAAAATTTTGAATTGCTCTAATAGATCCTAAGAAATAAATAGGAATTTAATACGCGTGATGTGTGTCTTTATAAGGGGAAATATAGCACGCGTTTACTTATATCATGATTTATAGATTTGCTTGTTGTAATGGGGAGTACATATTAATTAGAGGGTACAACTTATAAAGTATTCCTCACACAGACTATAAATTTAGAAAATACTATATTGCAATATATTGTATTCAAGTGCGATTACTGAGACTTGACAAAATATCTCATGAGAGAATAGTGTAAAAACTGACATAATTCAAGAGTATTACTTCTGGTGCTAATAAGTGCTAATAGATCTTGTAATCGTAAAGTACTTTGAACCCTGCTAACACTACGCTATACTATATAATTGATTTTTTGTTAGTTTAAACTTTGGAGAAGTACTCAGTGTTGTTCTTCAAGAGCAATTTCGAGCAAATTTTTCGAAGAAGTAATAATATCAATATATTAAAAAAAAGGAACTGAAATATTCTTATAAAGAAAAGATAATATATATAAGATATAGTTAAATGAAATTAAAATTTCCACAGGAACTTACAGCCTCAGTCAAGTCCACATGCATTTTTAGATCTAAAGTTTGAAGCCTAAATATTTCCTGTTCCTGCTCTCTATAACCAATTGGTCTTTCTGCTTCCTGCCAGGGCACAATTTTCTCGGATTGTGTTTCGTATTGTCGGCACATAGCAGCCAATGACAACAGCAGATCACCTTTCTTCTTCAAATCTCTGTATCTCTGTAAATCATAAATAGCAAAATTTAGACAAGATTTAGTACGAAACAAAATTTCTTAAGTCTCCAGCAGAACTTAACCTACCCGTATGACATCGTAGCTTGTAGCGCCCAGAATTCTGAGCTTCTCAAATGTTATATCAGTATCGATTTTCATTTTATATTTAATGGCCTTTCGTTCGTTGAGAAAATAGGCATGCTCTAAGCGCAAATCGTTCAGTTTGCGCTGTGACTCAATCTCAAGCTGCATAAGTAGTCGTTGGAGGTCTACGTATTGTTGGGTGCATTTCTTCTCGCGAGTATTAAGCGATGCGGTTTCCTTAAAGAAATTGTGTTGTCGATCCATGAGGTAGTCAATCTTTTCGTATTTATGTATGTCGAGTGTGTTAGTCTTCAATGACATACAGAAGTTGTAAACAGCTCTGTGGAGCTGTTTCATTTTATCCACGACTGTGTCGCGGTGCATATAACGTTTAGTAATTTCATTATTAACACGTTCGTCTCGCTCTTCTTTATATATCTGATACGATAGACGCATTTCCTCCTCAACAATGATATTAACCGCATGCTCGATGCGTTCGTAATAAAGTTTTT